CTGCCGCCGCCGAGGTCCGCCCAGCGCCTCAGCAGCAGGCCGGGCTCCTGACCGATGGCCCGGAAAAGAGGCTGCCGGAAACTGCTCTGTTTCGGGGTCCGCGAGCCCGGGCGGCATTCAGCCCTCACCCCGGTTTAAACTTTTCCTGTTTTTCGGTTTTGTCATTCTTGCGTGTTTGACAACCATGAGTGATTTAACTATGGTAAAATGGTTTGATTAGTTTTGCCCACTTGCAAAATTACTTCCTTTTTCTCTAAATTTGAATTTTTATTTTTTGGGAGGGAGGATGCTGAGGTTGGACCCTGGTGCGCCCTGATTTCTACCCCAGAGCCATACCTCAGCCTCCTTTCTCTGTATTTTAAATTCATTTCTAGCCTGCGATGCTATTCTTCTTGAGCGGAAGTGCTGATTTGCAGGATATTTGTCTTTTCACATCAGTTACTATCTCTGTGCGCCCTGAGTGATCATGCCCTTTATTTTGTCACTTCGCATAACTTTTATTCCTTCATTTCATTTATCTTTATTCATAATTCCTGCCTGAAAAAGGTAAAAGGCCACACTGGCTAGGACATGCCTGTCCTGTGCAGATGCTTAGGGGCGAAGGTTCTAACCGATTGGGTCCAGGGTGGGTGGAGGGCAGGCAGGTTGACTAAATCTCCAGTTTCTCTCTGCCCTCCAGGTGCCTTCTCCCGGAAGGGAATCAGGGAGGTAGAAATGGCCAGGAGGTTGCTGCCAGTTCAGGTGAGTGAAGGGTGGCCTGTTTCTTGGGCCTTCAGGGTTCAGAGGTGGCAGAGTAATTCTGTGCATTGGTGAGCTTCTCTAAGCTACAAGTCTGTGGAGGGACCAGAAGGGAGGTGGGGCACTGGAAGGAAAGAGTTGCTCTTGCCAGTGAAATACTTGTTGACTAGGAATTGAATTAGGCCCCCAGCCCCATCCACTGTCACAGCCAGAGCTCTGTAAGGGATCGAGGTCCTGTTTTGCCCGATAGCTGACAAAGATGCAGAGGAGTTCAAAGGGAAACATGGTCTTTGCCATCAAGGAACCGAAGACAGCCAGTGTATGGAGTACAGTTGGCCCTCCTACAGTATATCTACAGGTCCTGCGTAGGGGAGTTCAAGCAACTGCAGATCAAAAATTTTTGAAAAAAATTGACTTCGTATTAAACATGTACACACCTTTATTTTTGTCATTCCCTAAAAAATACAGTATAATGGCTATTTACATTGCATTTACACTGTGTTAGGAAATCAGGAGGTGATCTGAAGTACATGGAGCATGTGCATAAGTTATATGCAAATACTGCACAACTTTATATAAGGGACTATCTAGTTACCTTCTCGTTGCTGGTTCAAAATACCCAACACCAACAGCTGAAAGGAGGAAAAGCTTATTTTGGCTCATGTTTCAGTCCATATTCTGCTGGCTCAAGGCAGGACAGCATGGCAGAGGCACATAGAGGAAAGCAGCTCACCTCCTGGCAGAGGGCAGAGTGGGAGAGCTATACCCACCTCCTCCTACGGGACAGACCCCACCTTCTGACCACAAGTCAGCTGTAAGTCCCCAGAATCTAGTCGCCTTTTAAAAGCCTCACCGATGGCACATGAAGCTGTTGGGGGATATCTAGTTATAAACCATAACAAGGACTTACACATACTTTGCTTTTGAAATCTGCAGGGAGTCTTGGAACCAATGACCCACAGATACCAAGAAATGACTACATAGTAAAAATCCAGGTGGTTTTCCAGAAAGATTGAAGAAAGAAACCTCTTTGTCAGCAGGAGCTGTCAGGCAGTCTCCCCAGCAGTGCGCAGGACTGGGCTGGTGTAGATGGTGAATGGAGAGAGTCCAGAACAAACGGAAGCTTATGCAGTGGTGTAGGGCCCAGTTTCCCTAAAGCAGAAGTGCCGTCTTCCCAAGGATGCTTTGCTCTGCCCTTTCTTGACACTTAATCTGTATGGTTTTAGGGGAGAAATGTAATTAAAAACACTCTCCCAACCCAGAAGACCTCTTCACAAAGGTAAAAGAAAAGATCATTTTATTGTTGAATAAAAGCCACATTGTAATGCACATCACTTGCATCTCACTAAAAAAGCCACAAAGAAAGCCTACCTTAAATGGCTAAGAGGAAACAACCCAGTATATCAGGGAAGTTGTGCAATTTGGAGTCAGGTGACAAGTTAGGCCCATTTCTTCCCAGGAAAATGGCCAAACTTTGGCATATTAAAATTGTAGAGTTCATTAGGCTAGAAGTAGTTGTGGGTTTCTCCCAAAAAAGACACAAAAGCTTTTATAGGGTGAATGGAAGAGTAGAGATCCAGAAATTTTGGTTAAAGTTTTAATTATTTGGACCCCATACAGAGTTTCTGATAATACAGTTAATGCTCAGTTGGTGTTTCTGGTTGGCAGGAGTTTCATTTGTTAGGAATCTGTTTATTCTGTTTTGATGATTACACTCAAAGAGAGTTACCACTTCCATGAGAGAAAACTTTCTTGGGTTGCAAGAGATTGGTAAGTGACTAAGTCATTAAAACAGATTTACATACATCTGAAAAGGAAAAAGCAAGAAATTCTGAAAAGAAAGGGCGTAGAGGGAAATACCACTTCCTTTGTTTCTAGTAGGGAGAGTCGAACCACTGTGAAAAAAAAAATCAAACCCAGGGCCTTAGGTGTGCTCGGCAGGTGTTCTCCCACTGATCTACGGCCCCGTCTCCACACCCTTTACTCTTCTTTTTCTGGTGGTACCGGATATTGAACTCGGGACCTTGTGCTTGCAAGGCAGGCGGCAGAACCACTGAGCTAGATCCCCAAGCCCACATGACTTTTACTCTAAACTTGCTTTACCCTTATACATCTGGGAACATCCCGACCTTGTGATCGCCTGCCTGGGTTTATGGGGATGTACTTTGGGGGTGCTAAAGAGAAAGCAAACTGATCTAGTATTCTAGAAATACAGGCTAAGGAAATAATCTCTGTATGCTTTTCTGATGGTGCGCAGAGATGCTAAACCCAGCATTTCTAGTGGAAACAACACAAGCATCCACCTGTAGATTAAACAAAGTAGTTTATCTCTACAGTGATAAAAAATGTTGAGTTAGGGTATATAATACAAATTTATTTTCGGTTGAATATAGAACCATATTTGCATGTAAAAAGGCATGTGGTAAGAAGTTATAGCATTTTCTTGCAGCAGAAATTTAAATTCTCTTACTGATCTTTTCTAGTTTGCTTTTTTTTTTTTTTTTT